TTTGGGAACTAGAGCCAGTGAGATTTGCTGACATTCCTGGTACGCACCTGGGGAGGAGACCAGTGCCCAGTGGCCTGGCAGACTGTGGCCTTTTCTCAGAGGGGCACTGAGACCCGGGAACATGAGGGAGGTGACCTGCGGGAGGGGGTGGGTGCCTCAGGGCCTGTCACCCTGTGACTTGACTTGGGTGCCTCTTCCCACAGGGGCTGCATGGTGTTCTCGGGCCCCTATGTCTGGGCCAACTTCACTATCCTGGCCCTGGGCGTGTGGGCTGTTGCTCAGCGGGACTCCATTGACGCCGTCAGTATGGTGAGCTGGGGGCGACTGGGGAGCTGACTTCAGGGTGACCCATGACCCCCGCTCTGTCTTCACCTCGCCCATCCCAGTCTCCTCTTTCTTCCTCATGCGTATGTTTTCCATTTTCTAAAGCCTTGTCAATTAAATAAGCCCATTCAGGCTACCAGTCCAAATCTCCCCTAGCCTGGCCTGCTTCTCTGCTTGCCTGGCTCTGAGAGCCCAGAGCCTGCTCACTGTCTTCCCCAGGAAAGGCATGAGGTGGGGGCTACCAGTGGCCCCTCCCTGAGGACAGTGGAGCATGTACCCAATAACCCACCTTTAGTAGGGAGGCCCGGGAAGAGGGACCTGTACTACTTGGGAGTCAGAGTGGACACAGCCCTACAGGATCTCCCACGGGGGAGCTCCCAGCACCCCCGAGCCCCTCAGGGCAGTGAGCGCCCTGGATGACTGAGGAGGGATTTTCCCGGTGGTCGTGGTAGAGTGGGTGAACCTCCAGGGGACTTTCCATCTTGGAAGTTCTGGAACCCCTTCCTGCACCCCATCATGGCCTCAGGGTAACAGGAGAAGAGTGGTGGCTGGGGGCTCTGGTGGGGCCGGTGGGCTGGGTCCAGCCCTGGGCCCCCGAGTCCTGCTCCCTGCCTGGTAGTCCCCGGTCAGGAGCCTCAGGCACAGGGGCCGGCCTGTGCACTGATCTGATTTCCAGCAAGCCCCAGGGTGCAGCAGGGCACAGAGGAGCTTCTGCTCTGGGGTATCTGGCTGGAGACCATGCGGTGTGGTGGGCCACCAGTGTGTGCTTACCTCTGATGACAAGCGGGCCCTGGGCGGGGCCTGTCTTGCAGTTTCTGGGTGGCTTGGCGACCACCATCTTCTTGGACATCATCCACATCAGCATCTTCTACCCGCGGGACAGCCTCTCTGACACGGGGCGCTTCAGTGCCGGTATGGCCATCCTCAGCCTGCTGCTCAAGCCCTTCTCCTGCTGCCTCGTCTACCACATGTACCGGGAGCGCGGGGGTGAGCTGCTCTACACTGGTGAGGCCACCACCTCCGGCCAGCTTCCCACACCCCTCACGGGGCCAGGTGCTGGCAACTGCCACCTCCCACGTCTCCTCTGCCCGTGTCTTGCCTGACCCACAGCCCCTGCCCCATTGAGCCAACCTTGCCCCAACGAGGTCTCAAAGTACAGGGTGCAGCATGGCATAGGCTCTTAGCACCACACAAGGTGTGCCAGCTTCTGGTCTCTGCTGTAGGAGCCCAGTGGTCTGCTGACTGTCCCAGGCCCCTGCAGCCTTTTTGCTGGCACCAGGCTACAGGCAGAGTTGGGGGTGGCAGGCAGGTCACCCCTCAGCCTGGGCACGGATGCTGCTGGGGCTGTGATCCAGGTCCACAGCAGCTCTGGGCAATCTGTACTCTTGAGGCAACGGGGTACCTGCAGGCCCACCTTCTCCTCTTGGCTCCTGCCAGCCCTACCCCTAGAGCTCCCCTCTCCTGCCATGGGAGCCTGGGTGCCAGGGGAGCAGTGTTGCTGGCATGGACCATGGGAACCTTGGCCAAAGACAGCACTGGCCCACAGGTGCTTTCCCTGCTGACCGGCCCACTCCCCATAGGAGCTGTGCCCTCCCAACAGTGGCTGAACCGTTTTTCCTGCTCTCTCTGATACAAATTATTTCCTTTTATCTCTCTCTCCTGAGAGAGGTGGGGAGGCGGGCTGTGGTCATCTGCCTTTCCCTCCTGAGAAGAGGCCCAGAGTGGCCCACGACCCACCTTGGGGAGCAGCTGGGCCACGGGCAGGAGTGGCCTGGGGCTGCCCACCTGCCCAACCATCCTCAGCACTGCCCAGGTCTGTCCTGGTGTACAGGGAGCCAGCAGCGTTCCTCCCATTGGACAGATGAGAAAATTGAGGCCCAGAGCCTGCAAGACTTATTCAGGATCATAAGACAAATGTGCAGAGAAAAGATGGCAGTGAGGAATGTGGGCACTGAGAGCCCTTTGCCTGCTTTGCACCTGCCCCCAGCTCTCTGTCACTGTGCCCAGCTCTGGGCCTTCTGGGTACAGTAGCACAGCGTCTGTCTGCCTGGGGGAAGAGCTGGGGAGGAGCCTGTGGGCCCAGCCTGGGCATCAGAGTCAAACTGGGGACACGCAGAGCCAATGGCTAAGAGCACTAGCTTTGGGCACGTGCTCCTGTGTTTGAGTCCTTGTGTCCTCAGCTTCAAGCCCAGGCAAGTCATTTCACCTCTTTGACCCTCAGTTTTCTCATCTGTTAAGTGGAGGCAATAAAAATACCTGTTGTACAGGGTTTGGGGAGGATTGAGTGAAAAATGCATGCTAAAGGCTTATTGCCTGGGGCTGCTGCCACCCTCACTGTCCTGGGTGCCCAGATGCCCAGCTCTGGCCTTACTGGTGGGTGGTAGGTGAATCTTGGCTTAGACTCAGTAGAATATCCTGAGTCCTCACCCTTCATTTTTCTTCCCCTCCATCTCCCTTGCCCCCCAGGTTTTCTTGGATCTTCACAGGAGCGCAGTGCCTACCAGACGATTGACCCCCCAGAGGTACCCACAGACCCCTTTGCAAGCTCAGAGGGCAAGGGTCATGCCCCCTATGGGTACTGAAGCCAGCCCCACTTCAGCCGCACCCAGGGGCCAGTTTGACAAACTGCTGTGGAGGCCCAGGCTGCATCGCTTTCCTTGTGCCTTGGACATGTGTTAGAGGGGTTCCTGACCCCCTTTCTCAGACCTAACATGGCACGTGTCCTCCTGTTCCCCATCTCAGGGGCTTCGTGAATCAAGAACCTGAGAGGCCAGGAGCCCTGGGCACACCTGTGCCAAACTTCCTGAGGCCTCCCCTCCCTTCAGAGTACCCCACTGGTCCCAGGCTGGGATCCGTGGCCTCCTTCCTCCCCTCCACCCTTAGCTGCTCAATGCAGGGTCAGGCCTCTGAGGGCCAGTGACACCCCCTGCCCCAGCCCCTGCCCCAGGCCTGGTTTGTTCATCTCCCCTCGCAAAAGCTCTGAGAGCTTTGCTCAGCCTGGGAGCCCTCTGGTGTGTGGGTGGGTCCCTGTGCTTCTTGTTGCCTGACGACCCCGGGGCTGGAGGCAGGAGTTTCTGCAGCACCTGAGACCCACCTCGGCCTCTACCGGCCCCTCTCAGAGCCATGCATTAAAGTTTGGGGAATTCTGTAGCTGGGTGTGTTTTGAGCCATGCTTAATCTCCCGGCTGCGCTGGGGTCCAGACCTGCCATTCCTGGGAATATTGCTCCTTGGAATCCCCAGGGAGCCTGGGCTTAGCTGCCCATTCTGCTGTGGCAGAAGGAAGCAGGGGCTCGGGACCAGCTGGGCCTGCTCTGCACTCAGCTCTGCCGGGGTGAGGCCCCAGCAGGGCGGGGGTGCTGTTCAGAATGTCAGGTGGGTGTCCATGTCACTGAACCAGGGTATTTGCTTGGATCCTGCTCTGCATGGCCATGTGGCCGTGGACAGCTCAACCTCTGACCACAGTGTCTTTGGAGAAGAGCTGATGTCTGCCCAGAGGATGATGTAAATGAAATACACAGGGCCTGACCCCTCTGAAGGGGTCCCTAAATGACAGCAAAGTTGTTAAGTGTGTTGGTCAGTAGGCAAGAGACATCCTCTTCCTGGCGGACCCTGTGTCTGGCCTCAGGGCTGACTGGAACTGACACCTGTTCAGGGTTCTGAAGGTCCCATGGCCAGGGCCCTAGCCCACTGACTACTGAACCGCAGGTGTCTGGGCTTTCCCAGGCCATCCTGGCTTGACTCCAGCATGAAGAGGTCAAGGCCATGGGCACAGCCCCCACCATCCTCCTGTATCCAACTCTCCAGAGAGGCTGAGAACCTGCCACTGCTGGACCAGAGCCTAGGGGTGCAGGAGTGAGCTCCAGTGCCTGCTGTCGGGGGACGGATGTTACGAGTCCTCTGTGAGGAGAGCGGAGCCCTGAAATAAGAGAACACAGGCCTTTGGGAAGGGTCTGGTGCTCTGGGGCCGGGGGAGGCTGGGTGGCTGCAGCTGTGGAAAGCAGAAACAGCCCTTCAGAAGGGGATATGCGAATACTCCATGATACATTCCTTCTATGGAACACTGTTCAGCAGTTCAAGTGAATAAACCAGACCTATTTCTATCAATGTTGCGATAAATGTCACAAAGCAGACTGCAGAGTGTACAATGAGAGTGTTAGTGTGAATTTAGGAACCTCACAGCAATGCCACATATCGTTCATGGGTGTATATACGGTAAAATACGAAGTGTGGACTGGAAGAACATGTCAAATTTGTGATTGTGGTGGCCTTGGGTAGGTGAGGGGTGTGGCCTTTGGGAATGAACCTAAAACTCATGTTCCGGTTCCCTTGTTTATATATACAGTTCCTGGCATTTGGGAGGCATGTGGTGCGTGTGTTCTTGCATCTCTGTCGTGAACATGTCAGATTCCAAGGGGAGTGAAAAGGGATGGGGTCCAGACCTGCCATTCCTGGGAATATTGCTCCTTGGAATCCCCAGGGAGCCTGGGCTTAGCTGCCCATTCTGCTGTGGCAGAAGGAAGCAGGGGCTCGGGACCAGCTGGGCCTGCTCTGCACTCAGCTCTGCCGGGGCGAGGCCCCAGCAGGGCGGGGGTGCTGTTCAGAATGTCAGGTGGGTGTCCATGTCACTGAACCAGGGTATTTGCTTGGATCCTGCTCTGCATGGCCATGTGGCCGTGGACAGCTCAACCTCTGACCACAGTGTCTTTGGAGAAGAGCTGATGTCTGCCCAGAGGATGATGTAAATGAAATACACAGGGCCTGACCCCTCTGAAGGGGTCCCTAAATGACAGCAAAGTTGTTAAGTGTGTTGGTCAGTAGGCAAGAGACATCCTCTTCCTGGCGGACCCTGTGTCTGGCCTCAGGGCTGACTGGAACTGACACCTGTTCAGGGTTCTGAAGGTCCCATGGCCAGGGCCCTAGCCCACTGACTACTGAACCGCAGGTGTCTGGGCTTTCCCAGGCCATCCTGGCTTGACTCCAGCATGAAGAGGTCAAGGCCATGGGCACAGCCCCCACCATCCTCCTGTATCCAACTCTCCAGAGAGGCTGAGAACCTGCCACTGCTGGACCAGAGCCTAGGGGTGCAGGAGTGAGCTCCAGTGCCTGCTGTCGGGGGACGGATGTTACGAGTCCTCTGTGAGGAGAGCGGAGCCCTGAAATAAGAGAACACAGGCCTTTGGGAAGGGTCTGGTGCTCTGGGGCCGGGGGAGGCTGGGTGGCTGCAGCTGTGGAAAGCAGAAACAGCCCTTCAGAAGGGGATATGCGAATACTCCATGATACATTCCTTCTATGGAACACTGTTCAGCAGTTCAAGTGAATAAACCAGACCTATTTCTATCAATGTTGCGATAAATGTCACAAAGCAGACTGCAGAGTGTACAATGAGAGTGTTAGTGTGAATTTAGGAACCTCACAGCAATGCCACATATCGTTCATGGGTGTATATACGGTAAAATACGAAGTGTGGACTGGAAGAACATGTCAAATTTGTGATTGTGGTGGCCTTGGGTAGGTGAGGGGTGTGGCCTTTGGGAATGAACCTAAAACTCATGTTCCGGTTCCCTTGTTTATATATACAGTTCCTGGCATTTGGGAGGCATGTGGTGCGTGTGTTCTTGCATCTCTGTCGTGAACATGTCAGATTCCAAGGGGAGTGAAAAGGGAGAGGTGCGGTAGGGGGATGGAGAATAGAGCCTGTGCCAAGCAGAGGGGGTAGTATATTCAGAGACCCTGTCCCTCATAGACCCAGACCCCCAAGTCTGATAGGATCTTGGGGGTAGGGGCAGAGGAAGGTCCCTGTCTTAGGTGGGGTTCCCCAGAAGCAGACCCTGAAATGAAGTGTGTGGCTTGGTACAAAGCAAGTGAGCTGGGCTTTCTTGGCCATTGGCCAAGGGGTTCTGGGGTTGGGGGGATGGTGACTTAAACTTCCAGGCTACCCTGGCTTCTTGACCGTGCAAAGTGGCTCCAGGACCCCAAGGGCCATCCTGTAAGGAGAGGGCCATCAGAGGTACATAGAAACTGAGGGGGCCACCAGGATGGCTGCCCCCTTTCCACACAGCAGGTCTCATAAGGAGAACTAATAAAATTCATTCAACAAGCAGTCTAGAGGTGATGGAAGCTAGGCGGTGTTCTAGGTGCTGGAGATACCAGAGCAGAGACAAAAAGCCCCTAATATCTGGAGATTTCCTTTCCCATGAGACGCTGAAGGCAGAGAGCAGCTTGTAGGAAGACCTAAGTGGGCATATGCCTGCCTGGCCTGCTTGGGAACATAGTCAGGAGGCCAGAGTAGCTGGAGCCGAGGGAGGGAAGAAGGACTGAGGTCAGGAAGGCAGCAGGCCCAGATGGTGCAGGGTTAGTAGGTCATTTTGAGGACTTCGTCCTTTCCTAAGGGAATGGGAGCCACTGGAGGGCCCTGGGCAGTGGGACGTGGTCTGACTTAGGTTCTGGAAGGACAGTGTTGGTGGCTCAGCCTGGGAGGTGGAGGTGGGGGGGGGCGGTGACAGGTGGTCGTGTTGAGCAGAACACTATGCACTGGTTATCAGTCCCAGGGGGGGACTCCTGGCACTTCTGCCCACTGCATCTTGGTATCTGAGGATCCAAGGAAAACAACGTGGTCAAGCACCGGATGGATGATGTTTTAATCATGTCGAGAAGAGATAGCAAGACCAGCTTCAGCTGGGGGCGTCCATCCCTCATGGCTAGTGGTCTCTCCCAGTAGCTGTAACAGGGCGGTTTGCTTACTCTCAGCCCTCTTGTGCCACAGTGGAAGGGCACTGTCCCTGCCCCAAGGAGGACAGATACAGTAATGGCACACTGGCCAAGTGCCGTATGATGCACATGCTTCACCAGAACAAAAGAGCAAGATGGAAGGCAAGAGGGGCAGTATTCCAGGCCTAAGGCTCACTGTTACGTAGGGAGGGGAGCTGAAAGACCGCATGCAGGAGCCTGCTGTTCCCAACAGGGCAGCTCTTGGATACGTTTTGAAAGCAGAGCAGCAGGATTTGCTCACAGACTGAATGTAGGAGAAAAAGAGAACTCTGATTGCAAGGCTTTGGGGCTGAACAGCTGGAGGCTGGAGCTCCCACTGACTGGGAGGGAGCCCAGATTCAAAGAAAGGCCAGAGCTCAGTCCTGACCGGCCACACTTGAAGTAGCAGGGCTTCCCACCAGACCTTCCCAGCACTGTGGTCTTTTAAAAAGGCCAGCTTCTGTGGGAACTTGGAAATAGTCTATGTTTTAGTCTATAGTGTCTGACATTCTAGAAACTGTCAACCACATGAGCCAATTCCTCTTGGATCTGGTCCCCTACTGGTGAAGGCTAAAGCCACTTGTCTAGTTTACAAATCCTGTATTTCTTGTTTTCACAAAACTCCAGATGAAGCCAGAGACATTGCCCTGGGGGGAAGTCGCTGTTGGCCCAAACTGGACCAGAGCCAGCCGCCTCAGGCCTGTCCTTACGGTCTCCAGAACAGTCGGGAAACCCCAAATCTCACAGCCTCCTTCCAAACCACTTGGTTAAATCCCAGGGGTACCTTGTGACTGGCTGTGTAAGAGACTGGACGGTCTCAGCCTCATGGTGCCTCCATTTCTACATCTATAAAAGGGGGGTAATAAAAGTGCCTGCTGAGAGATGAGTGAGGTCTGGAATGCACAACAAGGGTTTAATAAGTATTAGGCCTCATTACCTGTGTCATCATGTTAATTATTCAGAGGGAGGGAAGGGGCTACCAGAGCAGGGGAAGAAGAAGTTTTCTTCAACCCTCCTGGGGTCGCTGGCTGGGCCCTGAAATTTGAACTGACAAAGGTTGATGGGAGAAAAGGACGTGCATTTTATTGAATTCTTATTGGTCTATGGGAGCCTCACAAAAGAATGAAGACCTGACCAATTGACCAGCTCAGGAAGCTTTTATATCTTTTAGACAAATAACCGGCAACTTTGCGAAGAGCTGACAAGACAAAGGGGGTTTGGGCTAGGAGTAGTAAATGGTAGAGAATAACTAGGAAGATAAGGGCTAGTTAACAGGTCTGTTTATACAGATTTCCTGGCCGTAACTTCTCTGTCTCCGGTGATAAGAACTTCTTTCCTCCCAGTACAGGAGGGCACCTTTCACACAGGAGATGTATGACCTGTTTCAGGAAAGGAGGGCAGC